GTTTTGGTGCATCTCATTTATGTAGTTTTCAAGTTTGGTACATAAACCTCCACTTTTAGTCTCTCGCTCATTGATACAAACCCAACAGCATCATGTCCATGTAAGCCACCAGCTCTAGCCCATGATCCCACGTAGCAAGCATGATTTCATTTTCATTTTTTTAGGATTTATTTCTCAGCATGTATCAGTTATTTTTATATTGTTAATAGTGCCTTTATTTTAGGAATCCAACCAATTGTTTGTAATCCCTATTTAAAAAGGTTTGTTATTTCAATGAAGGATAGAAAATTGCTCCATTTAATTTATTTTTCTCCTTTCCTTAAACTTGTCCTTTCTACTGAAAAACAACCTAACATTTGGTGCTCTCGTGCGTCTACTTAGTTTATTTTTTTCCTTTCCTTACGCTTATCATTTTTGCTAGAAAAAAACCTAACACTCATGTTGCCAGCAAATAGTGCTAGGATTGGTTTCTTGAGGAGTTGGTATTGTTTTCTCTTTCTTTTGTACAAAATTATTTTTTATAATTAAAAACACTTATAAAAAATAAAAAATCCAGTGAAATAAACACGTAGTGTAATAAATAAAAAAGTTAAGGCTTTGAGGCCTGGGCGATGCGAAACGATTTAGGCCTATTATCAAATGTGACTTGTGAATTTGGCCCATTAAACGATTGAAAAAGGATCGTAAATATAAATAGGGATATATATATATATATATTTTTTTTTTTGATAACAAGGGATATATTTTTCTTATGCTGTAGTAAAAATATTACCTCATGTTGTAGAAATAAAAGTATAAGTGGGACCCACATGTAAGAGGAGAGAGAAAAAAGAGTGGTGAGAGTCAATCTCTTTTTGTGTGTAGGAGAGTTGTTTATCTCATGTAAAATGAGATAAACATAACCCATATAAATAAGGGAAATATTATTCTATTTATTTATTTTTTCTATCTATTTTTTCTTATTGATAAATATAAAAGAAGAAACACTAAACAGAATATTTATTTCTTGTTATCCTTTTATTATTTCTTATTGATAAATATAAAAGAAGAAACACTAAACAGAATATTTATTTCTTGTTATCCTTTTATTATTTCTTTTTTTTAAAAAAAAAAAAAAAATCTTTAGGCTATGAGTTTCGACGTTCGCAATTTCCCACCACAAGAGCTTTTGTTCCCGCCGTCTCGAAACGAATCTCCTCTCTGCGATTTAAAATTTTGCGAGCCCGGTTCCTCATCATCGATCAGCGCCCACTTCTCTTTCTTTAGAACTCAACATGAGATATATTGATATCTATCACTCATAAAATTGACTAAATAAAAGGATAAGAATTGATAAAGGAAATCTCTCTGTTCTTAATTTGGTTATTAAGATAATGAAAAATTTAATATATTCTCCATAAAATTCTTAAATACAACGCACGCACGATTTTAATTCAATTCTACATGCATTAGATCTTACCTTTTATGATCAAATTGCATATCCACGAGAAGATTGAATGAAACACATGACGTGGTCATTGATGGCTATGAACCACATGGGCCACGGCAAAGACAGGGAAGTGGCGTCAGCAGCGCTGCAATTATCTCAAAATATATTACGGTAACATTGTCTCCTTTTCTGATTGCATTTTGAAATTTACTAGGTTTCTTTTCTATTCCCCGCCCCTTTTGTAGTCTAACTGTAATTTTGGTTCAACGTAACTATAGTCAAATTTTGCTTTTGTTTTGATGCCAAATCAGTTAGTATTTCAATATTTTATATCTTTTCTTATTGGTTGATGTTTTTCCCGTGGTCAGGAAAGCTATTGCATCATGTTCATATATTTAAATGGATATCTTACGGCACGGTAAGCTTAATTCCCTTTTCGAAGAGCGTATCATCTGTATAGATGTAACATCTTGTTGGTGAGGCCAGGCCTAGTGTGGGGTCGGATTTAGATTGAACCATGGCACTTGGATTCGTTGGGTTAAATAAAAGGAGTTGCATCCTATTTAACAATGATATTATATCTTTTGATTTAGTGGTAAACTCTAGATTTAACATTTGGTATCAGAGCTCAACGTCTTTCATTTCCCGAGATAACATATTGCAAAACCTCATTGGCTGCTGTGACCTTTTTTAGTAATTTCATGCTTCTGTTGTTTGTATCCCATAATTATTATTTAAAAGTTCTTAGAAGTCATATTGAATTGTCGAAACAAGTAATTTTTTTTTATGTTTTAGTTAGTATTATTGTTTACTTTCTGCAGGCACAAGGGCTACGTTGGTGCATTGAAGAGATTGTGTTTTCCTTTACTTATCCCAGACTTGATATGGAGGTTTGTCTGTCACCTGGCCCATTTTCCCTGTATTCTGTTGTTAATAACCTTCATATCAGCTTCAGTTGTACACATTCATAGTTCCTCCTTACCAGCTCTGTCTACAGTAGGAATTATTTAATTGAACCTATCTATGTTTTAGGTTTCAAAGCATATGTTTTCAGTATCACTTTTTATTTACAAAAGTTGTTGAATTGTTTATATGCTTGAATATGAGTGTCTACGGACACTAAAATCTTGTTTTATCTTTAATGTTCACTTTCCATGAGATAATTGAAAAAAATAAAGGTACCTTCCCTTTAAAATTAGTGATAAATGTTCTAGTTAATTTATGTTTTAACATTCTATGGTAATTTCTTCTTTGTTCTAGGCCGTTCTTGTGTCCCAATTGATCCAAATCTATGTGAGGAATTTGATCCTACCAATGTGCCAACCCTTTCACCGGTAGTCTTATAATGACAATTTTCTGAGTAAACTGCAGACTGCTTACCTGGGGAGGAGAGAAGAAACTTCCCTGGTCAATTATTTGCTTAACTTCCAATATAAAGAATGTTCTAGTAAATAATTGGGAGTGCCTGACATTATCATGTTGACACTTCCGGTTCCACTCTTTGCTTATACTATTTAACGTGAGCAAGTCATCTTTTGACTACTTAAAAGGGGACGCTTGAACCGGACTACGTTATTGCAACTGAATAATGCTTTTTTCATATTCATGAAAATTTCTTATGTGTATGTGAATCCTGATATCGCATAATTGCAGCTTTTAGAAGAGCTTAATAAGGAGGGTTTGAGAGCTGATGTTCATAGCGGTATGTTAGTTAATACTTGGACAATCCTAGTTTCCTTTTCGTAAATATTTTGCATGCCATGACAATAATCTATCAGCAAATAAGTAATTAGCCATGCATATGATGCTTGTTCCATTTTTTCATCCAAAATGCTGAGGGAAATGGGGTCCTGTTCATTCATATTTACCTTCTAATGCTAATTGCAACATGGCATTCAGTACAAGTGGTTTTAGTACCTTGCCTAATGACAGAATGAAATAAAACTTGCAAACACCATCAGGCTTTTCCGATCGTCATTCTTACAGGCTACAGCCTCTACTAAAAACTCGCAAAGTATGGATCTTTTGCGATCATCGTAAGTGTCAGGCGGGTCCCGGGGAAGCCCGTGGCGGGAGGCCACCACCAATGAGCTAAGCTACTCCAAGTACACCAAGTGGATCCGACACCACATCTCAACCCAAAACCTTAAGGCATTGGATTCATGGGTCCTTCCACTTATATACTCTTCACTTAGCCCATTACCAACCAATGTGTGACTCATCACACTTGAATATCCCACAATCTCTCCCTCAAGTGTGAAACCCAACATTGATATGTTTTCCCTCAACCGAGTACTCCAGGGCCCCTCAACCGAGTACTCCAGGGCCCAAAGTATTCAACCTGCCTCCTAGCCAATCACCAGGCTAGCTTGAGCCCAACCCGGCTCTGATACCACTGTCAGGCGAGTCCAGGGGAAGCCCGTGGTGGGGGACACCACCAATGAGCTAAGGCTACACCAACCGTAGCAAGTGGATCCGACACCATGTCTCAACCCAAAACCTTAAGGCTTTGAGTTCATAGGTCTTTCCACTTATATACTCTTCATTTAGCTCTTTACCAACCAATGTGGGACTCATCACACGTGAATATCCCAACAGTAAAGGTAGCACATGCAAAGTTTCCAGCTAGACAGCAATGTACCACATGCAAAAAGCTTACGGAACATTGTTTATAAAAACATGCTAAGAAGCATGACTCTTTTTCTGTTTCGTACTTGTGCATGCTCTTAAACTTTTATGCTACTAATTTGATTATAATACAAATTATGGTGTATTAGTGCTAATCTTGAACACTGCAGGAGGAGATAGAAAGTTCCTATTGTACGAAATTGCAGCAGTCAAGGAATCTCCTTTGTTGGTTGTGTCACTTGATTGGTTATGTACTCTTACCTAGCGTATGGAAGTCCATTCAATTGGGGTCGACTTGCAATATCTTCCCGAAACCTGTCTTCTTCATGTTAAAGGAAGGTATGAGAATTGAAATATTCATTCCATCCCACGTATAACTTTTGGATGATGAAGTTTCGGTGATGAGAATTATTTGGAATTAAGATTCAGAATTTCAGGTCCATCTAAAGTATAGCCTTAATTACAACCAAGAGGCTTGGATACTAAGAACTACTAGTTTCTTTCTTAGTTGATTTTCTGGAATTTGAAAAACTAAACGCAATATTTTTCACTTCTATATAATGTGTCCGTTCCAGCCTTCCAGGGAAAGGGATATCCATTCAATTACGGGTTGACTTATTTTATTATATTTTTGGTTGCTACGGCGATAGAGACCGAGGCAGGATCAAAGCTAAAAACCTGGTTTCCTGTCTAGGATGAAGGCAGAATCCATAGTTCAAGTGCTGAATGCTGGCATTTTTGTCTGTAATTCAAGCATACACAAGGTACCAAAACATGTTTGGTGTGATGGTGATTGATCAGGTACTGTTTCTGATATTAAATCATATGAAGACCTTTGGTCACTCACAACTGGAGTTCCAAATTAATGTTAGAAAGTATCCTGACAGACTAAATTTATTGCTAAATTAGATATAAACTGCAAGTGGATTGTATTAATTATGGATGAAGAAGAACACAGTTGTAGACACAAGATGCTATCAATAGGCAAAATTCATAATTGACAGAGAACTCCGTATGACAACAACTGTCAGGAAAAACTCCAGAAGCCCTGAGTAAAAAATCAAGGCCGAATTGACAGCCATAACAATCCTACTTAAGATGCTAAAGGATCTCTCACCATTCCCACAAACAAGACCTACACAGCTAAGAAGGCATACATACATACCATACCATACCATACCCAATGAGACCATAATCAAGACTATAATTTTCATTTACAGTACAGCGCTGGCTGAAAAGTAACTACTACTAATCAAAGGAAGAGTTTATCTTCTAAATGGCCAGAACATCCCAAATCAACTCGGGATCGAAGGATGGCATCCTTGCCAAGGAACATTCATCGAACTCTGATTCCTCTGTTACCATTGTTGGACATTCTGTCAAAACAGAGGCCGGGGAGTTCTCCCCTTTCCAAATTTCATCCTCCGAAACAGTTGGTGAAAACAAATCGTTCGCCCAATTATCACAAAAATTTGAATTTGACGGTGACAACATTAGCGAGGAAGAAGAACAGGAAGATGAGTTAATCTTGTGTGATTTCTCACCCTGTCCGCGGTTTTTGTCATTACCTGAATTAAGCTTCTTTGCAGCATTCTTTTTGGCTTTCTCTCTTTTCTTCACCTTTTGACATATAGCTTGAATTTTGGCATCCACGGAGCTCTTCAGAGCATTCAATCTCGCGGAATCTCCGAATCCTAACTTGCTTGGGTCCTTTAGATTTGGGAAATTCAAACGTGCATATTCTCCACGGAGCTTATAAGCTGCACGATCATAGGCATAAGCAGCAGCTTCGGCAGTGTCATAAGTGCCCAACCAGACTCTCATTCTATTCTGAGGGAGTCTAATCTCAGCGACCCATTTCCCCCAGTGCCTCTGTCTCACTCCCCTGTACAGATTTTTCTTGCAAGGATTCATGAAAGAACTCGCGTATGCAGAGCTCAGAGATGGATTTGCCAAGGAAGAGGGAACAAAAGACCCATTCCCTCGGCTTTCGTGGTAGAATTTTTGCAAGATGTCTCTTTGGCGGAGGTACACAGAGGATCCCAAAGGCTCAAACCCCAAAGACCCAAATGGCTCCAAGTAATCAGACACAGGGTTTGTGTTAGTAGTAGTGCCATTCGTTGGTGGATAATGAGAGAAAATTGAGTCCAAGGTGTTTGTCCCACTTGATAGTATGAGCTTTGATAAAGAGGATCCAATATCAGCACCATCTTGCATTCCCTCCATGATTTTCGGAAAACCTTTCAAGTGCTCCTTAGTAGAAAACTAGAAGCAAAAGTGGAAGAGTTTTTATAGGAAGATGGGCACTGAATAAAAATTGGTCCCTCTTCCTATCTAAAGGAAAGAAAAACAGTTTAACAATGCTTCAGATACGAGGAAAATGATATAAATTATGAAGGAAGTGAAGTAGTTATTGTAGCTTCAGAACGAAGTGATCCCGGGAAAACGGGAGGAACACCGAAACAAGGTGGAGAATATGTTTAAAAAGAAAATGGGAAAACAAAGAGAGGCACTCAAAGAATAAGAAGAAGAAGAGGATATGGCATTTGAGGGGGTTCGAAACAGTATGTTACGTCTCTTCCCATATCATGGGTGTATTTATAGCCAACATGAAGCGGTTCCTTTTAATCATACAGCGAATATGTTGGGTATGGCTCATACTTCACATGATGATGTTGGCTTTAATTGTCGGGGTCAGCAAAAAAACAACTGGGGTCCCGCTCCCAGGTGAGCGGGCGGGGGTCCGGGGGGCAGCGCCCCCAGGCCCGTAGAGGCTAGGTAATGTTTAGGCCTCTGTTTCTATTGTAATTTTCTTAGCAGTTTGGGCTTGGGCCCATGAATAGCTGCTGTTAGGGTTTTTTGTAATCCTATTTATATTTGCCTTGTAAACCGAGAGACTTGTAACGAGTGGCGGTGAGGTGAATATAGTACAGACAAGCTGGACGTAGCCTATATTGGGTGAACTAGGATAAATCATCGTGTCGATCTCTCTACTCTTATTTCTTTTTCTGTTTTCTCGATTCTGTGTGATTGTCGATTTCCAATAGAATCCTCGTTCACATCTTGAAAGTCTCAATTCGGCGGTGTGGCCTGGCCTCCTCGTTACATTGACTAATATGCCCTCACTCACCTAATGGTGTATGTGTACGTGATTAAGGATTGGCTACGGAGACTATAAGGTCTTTTTCCATATGATTTATTTTTCACAAAAGTTCAAAATTATTTTCTTTGCAATAATATTCCCTTCAAAAAAACTATGAATGTGTAAAGTTTTAACAAAAGTTCAAAAATACCTTTTTCAATAAAAATACACCCAGGCAAGCTCTGGGATCCAGACAGGAACTGCAACTTTTTATCATAAAATTTGGGGGCAGGTTTTTAAAATGCAATAAAACATTCCCTTCAATAATACTGTTTATATAAATTGTCTCAACTTTACACGGCGTGTACTCATGTAGCACCGATACTGACATGAAAAACCAGACACGATACGACACGATACGACACATGTTAATTCTAAAAAATGTTAGATTTTGACATGTTAGGACACGTTTTGATATTAAATATTATTTTTAATTTATGTAATGTATATTATATTTAATACTCAATAATATAACAAAAAAATGAAGTTAAACTTATAATACTTATCAATTTTATAAAGAAACATAAGATATCCCAAATATTTATATTAAACTCAATAAAATAGTAATAATAATTTAACGAATCTAAAAATTGGAACTAAAAATGCAACGCAACGCAACCTTTGAACCTTTTTTGAGTCTCTACAAGGCATGTTGGAGTGTCGGGGAGTGTCGAAAAATGTCGAACACGACACGTCAGAGTTTTTGAAGTGTCGGTACTTCGTGGACGTGTACATTCACCTTTAACTAATTCTATGATGTATGTATTAAAAAAAAAACTAATTCTATGATATTACAGTTTTACTATTCTTTTTTAATTTATAGACACAAAAATTGAGTCCTAATTAAACATGTTCAAGGGTTAGAAATATAAATTATATTATGGTTGCGTAGGGAATCTAGCGGCAGATTAGAACCAGTCAAAACCCCATAAGTGAGGAGGAGGATAGGAAGCAGTGCACTATTATGATTATCCAAAATCTTAAATTGAAGTCAGCAAGAATTTCAGTTGATCTTAGCCACAAGAATTTACTTAAAAAAAAAGAAGAAGGAAGAAAGCCAGCAAAAAATCTTTATCTTATTCTTTTATTAGGGGTTAAGATTTGACTCTGCGTGGTGGTCCATAAGTGTTCATATCAATGACCTCTGCACTAAATCACCAAAAAGGAAAAGCCTACTTTTGCAATTTATTGCAGTGATGTGGTATGACTTATGAGAACGTGAGAAGAAAGAAGAGGAGAGCAACAGTCTCACAAGTCAGAACAACATATCATGCCGAAAAGATCCTCTTCTGCGTCATAACAACGCGTCTCCTACACCGCAGTAATATTGATTTAAGTTGATATTACTTAATCAATTTATTTTTAATTTTTTTTAATCAAACTAAGTAAGTTAAAAAAATTCAGCCAAAAGCAAAAATTTGTGACAACGCATGGGAAAATTTGAGGCATCCCAATTTTATTGATCAACAGTATCTATAAAATAAGCAACTTTTCAATTTTAGGGGATCGAAAAAGTGGGGGTGAAGGAGGGATGGGGATTTGAGAGAAGAACCGTAAGAAATAATAATAGGACTTATGGGTCTCATGCATCATCATGTTTCTTGTTAGGTATTGAAAACAACTTACACAGTAAAAAAATGCGTATAGCTTAAAGCCAAGACGCATTTAGTTTCCTTAAACCACAATCAGAATCAAATTATGAATGATTTGCTTGAGCAACCATTAATATTTATTCCAGGATAAGCAATTGATACGGGATGAATACTAGCCATTTGTGTTTACTTTCCTTGCTGCCAACAATAACAACAACGTGTCTATGCCAACTATCTCTAAATAGAAACATATATAGCATTCAATGTGATGTTGATACTTCTAAAAAATTTGCTGTCAAAGACATAAGAATTGAGAATTAGTCAAGAGACACAAAATACTTTAATTCCCATAAAAAGAAAAAGAAACAATCACATATTTGTTTAAGTAATAGTAACTTTAGGTAGGAAACCACATGGGGGAATCTAGGATTACAATGATGGGTACCAGCTACGAAGTAAGTTTTAATTACTCTTGTGCCTGGTAAGGTAATGCCCCATTAATAATTCTATGTAAGCGTATGTTGTCTCACGCAAAATCAAATTAAAAATGCTCTCATGCACTTGCAACGAAATGTAGAAGCAAACTTCTTGATTAGTTAGTTACCATCAAGTCAAGTCAGTATGGGGAGCACATGCCGATTTCTTGTCATAAAGTATTTGGAAGATGTGAGATTCAGAGCTAAGTGTTTTAGACTCTGATTTTTTTCTTAGATGAATAAACCAAGCCATACGTTTTTGATAAAGTTATATATATTTATGTGTATACATGTGTGATGTGTCGATGTGTGTAGGAGTGGCCAAGGGAGTTTTAAGTTGACACTAGATGAGGAAGAGGGCAGGGCACAATTATCCACCGAAATCAGATCCGGGATTGATCATTGAATGGAGAGAGAGAAAAAGGTTAGAGATTTTGTTGGAAGGGGTCTTCGATCTCTCTATGTATCATGATTCATGAAGAAGTGAGAAACTCAAACAAGAATAGTACCAAACCCATAGAAGTGGGGATGATAGTCACCAATCAATCAGCATGGTATATTAAAGGCATAAAGGTGACTTTGGAAAGGCATGGGGGGGGTGGTAGGCCTTTTTTGAAATGTGAAGGACAATACTCGTGAAAGGACACTCCTCAGTATTTCCATGGCCAAAAAGCCTTCTTCTCTTTAATTTATTTTTCTGTACAAGCAAGCATGTGACTCGACCTAACAACTCTCCTCACAATGAGATGAGATAGTCAATGGAGAATCCTTCAACATATTTTTTTGAGATAGATATTTACTGATATCGATCCGTACGTGTGCGTGTGGTATATATATTTTATAGCATTAGGATATATCCACGACTTTTCCATCAAAATTTTAATCCTCTTCTAAATTGCCAAACAAATTATATATAATAGAAGGGCAATTATGTAAATGCATGAAAGTCTAAAGAGTGAACTGTAAATATTGGAGCAGCAGCAGACGCAGTAAAAGATAGCATATAGAATGGCAACGCGTGGAAAGGTTCGTGGAATGTGTGGGATTGACTTTGGAAAAGGTTTGTTTTGGCTGTATATGAATTTTCATTTTGTCTAATAAATGCTAAGATGGCAGTATACGGAAGTTAGAAATGCTGCTTTTCCTTTCTTTCTCTGTCGTCTTTCGCCACGTTCACATCATCGAACATGAAGACATAAATAAGACATTGCAATTGCTGAAATACTGGGCCAACTAAAGGCAAAATAGAGGATAAGTTTACCATGTCCTTAGATTATTCAGAAAAAACCAGCTCAATTTTTTTGTGATAATTCTTCTTTTTGTTCGAGGACTGATACATGGATAGAAAAAAAAATAAAAATTATCTTATTAGTTCAAAGTTTTAAAAGTTTGATTGGATTAAACTTTTGATCAAACTTATTATCGTTCTAATAAAAAACGACATGTTTTGTCAATCACTGCATTACGACACGGCAGATTAGATGTCGAGTTATGTAAAACAAGGTCCTCAAATATGTCTGTGTCAGTGACACGTTTAACCGAACAAGGACGCATTACATTTGGAAAAAATTTATCGTGCATCAGGATCATTGCGATCCTTCAATTGAAAATTTGACATTTGGCTTAAAAAATTCTTATTCTATTTTCTCTCTCGTCTCTCATTAACTGTTTTTACTCTTTCTCACTCCTCCGCCCCACTGAATGTTGTGTGGTCCAGGAGCACTAAATATGCTCTCTTACATTTGATGATGTGATCGTAGTGCCAAAGTCCGTAAGAGAAATCTCTGCATCAGACGTGTTTGACCCAAATGTGGTCTTCAATGTAACGTCAGACACGAAAAAATGGCATTGTGCATGCTGCTTCTAAGCGCGGTACGTACAGTGTCGTATTCCTGTCTATATATTTTCCACACGACCCCCTTTCTCCTTACCCTGACCAGCCATTCTCTCACGGTTCAAAATCTCCCCACATACCTCTCAGTTTCATTCTTCATTTACCCAACCTCTCTGTTTCGTTCTCAGTTAATTTACCCCATTCATTATCCACTTGTGCTTCATCTCTTCAAGCTATTTTGAAACACTTATAATTATGATTTTACGTGTGGACAATTCCTCAATATCTTATTCATTCGCAACAACATTTTTTCTTTGTGTGACGGTAAAAAAAAACATGCTTTTTTTGGAGAGAGGTACTATTTCACCAATCGAGTCACAGGTATTTTCATCAACCCTTTAATTTTTTTTTCTCTTGAATTTTAAATCTCTTCGATGTTTATTTTTAGTTTTACACACGTCTTTTTTTTGGAGATCTACATCCATTATGTGGCATACGGGTTTCCCA